GTGGGGTGGCCTGTCTGGGCTACTTGCACACTGCCAGGCTTGTGATGCTGGGGATCTGGCGTCTTAGCTGGGGTGGGAGGCAAGGTGCACAGGGGCAGGAGGGGCAGGCTTAGCTTGCTTCTCCTTAGGTGATCCACTTCAGCAGGGGCCCTGTGGCAGCAGGAGGGAGTCAGATCCGCTGCTGGAGGTTTGGCTCCGCAGAAGCGCAGAGTTGGGTGTTTGCGCGGAGCGAGCAAGTTCCCTGGCAGGAACTGGTTCTCTTTGGGATTTTGGCTGGGGGATGGGCGGGGGAGATGGCGCTGGCGAGCGCCTTTGTTCCCCACCAAACTGAGCTCTGTCATCCGGGGGCTCAGCAGCTCTCCTTCCCTTTGTCCTCCAGCCTTGCTGCTTTCTGAGCAGAGCTGTTAACTTATGACCTCCCAGACGCTAAGTCGCGCTTGCTGTAGGAACACAGTCCATCAGGCCCCTCTGCTTTTTGCAAGCCAGACTCGGGGGCTCTGCTTGGCCGGCGAGCTGCCCCTCCACCCCAGCTCCCTCCCGCCAGTCCGTGGAGCGCGCACCGCCTCACCGCCCTTTGTACCCTCTTCCGTGGGCCTCTCGTCTGTGCTTGGCTCCGGCGACTCTGTTCTGCTAATCCTCTGGCGGTTTTCTGGGTTATTTAGGCAGGTGTAGGTGGAATCTAAGTGATCAGCAGGATGCGCGGTGAGCCCAGCGTCCTCCTACGCCGCCATCTTCCCTCTCTCCCCAAAATTTTTAAATATATATTATAATAACTGAGTAAAAGGAAACAACCAACTAAAAAATGGAGAATCATGTAAATTATTGTAGTCATGTGATTATTATAGTCGAACTTTATAATTGTTGAATACAAATCAAATAAAAAAGTGAGAATCCTTAGAAATAACTACAGAAAATTTCCAAACAATACTGAATAATTCACTAAAGATATAGTATAAAAGAGCAAAACAATGAGAGGTTGTTGAATAATATTTACATAATTGGAGCATAAATTAAGAATAAATAGTATTTATAGAATTTTTTAAAAAAGAAACTGGAAAATAGGATGAAGGATCTATATTAAGAATATTATGAATGAGAACTTTCTAATTACAAAAATAATTATAAGTATTTACATCAATAGTTTATTTGATGTATAGTAATAGTATAATAGTATAATAGTAATAGTATGTAATAGTTACCAGCCTATTATATATAATATAATATGTAATTACAACCTATAATATAAAATTATGTCACACAAATAAATTAAAGTTTCAATTGATCAAAGATAAAGAGAAAATAAAAGGACAAATAAACAAGAAAATTCAGATACCAAAAAAGGAAAGACAACCTGACTGGATATAAAGTTCTTAAAGACAACAAAAATAGCAGGAATTAAATACTGTTTTTACTATTCTGGAGAAAAATAATTGTCAATTTCAAAACTGATTCTCAGCTAAATTATCACTTATGAAAGAGAAGAGAATACATAGTCAGAAATAAAAATAAGAAGAACAATTTTACCTCCCACATATTGAGACTGAAGGGATTCACTTAATTTTAACCATTTACTTCATATAAAATACAGTATACATACATAACACTTCTGTGTTGTCTGTCAGTGGGGAAAACGATGGACTAATAATTAAATGATTGTAGAACAATTAGCTTCTCATTTAGAGAGAGAGATACACATACACATACTCACACAGATACACACAGAGACAAACCTGAGAGAGAATTAGATCCATATTTCATCGAACAATTCTGCTTTATTGATAAATTAATGTCATGTGTTAATACCCATATCTTACCTTGGGCTCCTTTGTCTTGGACAAGGGTTTAGGAGCCTTTAGTTAATCTGGACGTTGATCCCAGGAAGCACAGTAATGAAGTGGACTACTACTATAGGAAAGACAAAAACTCCTATAAAATTGCTGTGCTGGTTACCATTGTGGACAACAATATATTGTAGTAGAGTCTCTGAAGGACTAAACACACCTTAGAATTGCCCCCTAAAGGATGAGAAACTTACATTGCTTAAAAAATTGAAAATAGCCTATAAATGAAATATGAGGATAATGGTAAATAAACTTGCTGTATATATATGATGCAGTGATAAACACCAGGAAAATATAAATATGACTATCTCAAACCAAAAATATTGTGTGGAAAATGATGCTTCAGAAATGTACATTCATTATGATTTCCTTTATACAATTTTCTCAAAAAAAAAAAAAAACCCACCAAGCTATATGTTTGTGAATGCATCTCTCACTTTTTCAAAAAAATGAAGGCTGCATGTCAATCACTTACATCAAGTTTAGGATAGTGGTTACACCTAGAAAAGAAGAGAGGGTGATGGGTACAGAAATGATCTTAGTTTGCATGTAATTTTTAAGTTTTATGTTGGCTGGAAGATGTACAGGTTTTTATATATTATTCTATGTTTTCTCTGATTTTAAAATATTTGGCAGTGATATAATAAAATATCAATGATATCAGAAGGTTGTATATGATTAAATGTAGTATAAAAGTAAGATGTACTGACTGTTCTGATTACATTAAATGAGTAAAACATCATATGTGTAACATAGAGGTAAAGCAAATAATTATTGGGTGAATCTCTGAAACACCATTTTAGATATCAATACATTTGTCTATGTGAGAAGGGTAAAAGATGGTGCATTCATGATATTCTGAATATAAAGCAGAGACAAAACCACACGGGTGTGATTTTAAAATTATAATGATACCAACTTCTGTTTAGTGACTTTATATTGTATTTATGCATGTTTTTACATGCATTTGTTACATGGAGGTATAATACCCATAGTAACTGTAAGAGGTAGAAAGTAGTAACATTCCCTTTACTGAATTGCTTAGGTAGGTTAAGCACACTTAGATCAGTTAAGTAGCCTCCCCAAGACATAGAGTGAGGAATTCGTAGAGTTGGTATGGAATACAAACACTCTGACTCCACTATACTTAAATTTAACCACTTTACTGTAATATCTTTGATACAGGCATTCCAGAAAAAAGTATGAAGTTTCTTCAAAAAAATATGGGGCACATGGGTAACTCAGACGGTTGAGCTTCCAACTCCAGCTCAAGTCATGATCTCACAGCTCATGAGTTCAAACCCTGAGTAGGGCACTGTGCTGACAGCTGAGAGCCTGAAGCCTGCTTTAGATTCTGTGTCTCCCTCTCTCTCTACCCCTCCCCAACTCGGGCTCTGTCCCACTGTCTCTCAACAATAAATAAACATGAAAAAAATTAAAAATAAATAAAAATATAGAACTACTCTGATCCTGCAACTCCACTTCTTGGTAAATATCTGAAGGAAATGAAATCAGTAACTTGAAGAAATAAGTACACCCCTGTGTTCACTGGGACACTAGTCATGGTAGCCCAGATAAGGAAACAACCTAAATATATGTCGACAAATGAGTGGATAAAAAAAATGTGGTATATATAAACAATGGAATATTATTTAGTCTTGAAAAGAAGGAAATCTTTTCTAGAGGACATTATGCTAAGTGAAATAAGTCAGACACAGAAAAGACAAATACTATAAGATCTCATTTTTATATGGAATCTAAAAAAAGTCAAACTCATAGAACCAGAGAGTATATCAGTGGCTAGAGAGTGGGGGGGAAGAGGGAGATAATGATAAAGGGTAAAATCTTTCAATTAGAAGATGACTAGGCGGTGGGATCTAATGTACAGCATGATGATTACAGTTAATAACATGGTATTGTATTCTTAAAATGTGTTAGAGTAAATATTAAGTATTCTCACTACAAAAAAAAAGGTTAGTATGTGAGGTGATGGATGTATGAATTAACTTGATTGTGTAATCATTTCATAACAAATATATATTTATATATTAAATCATAACATGTACACCTTTAAAAATCACATTATGCAAGCTAAATATAGACAGTTTTGGTCAAATTTCCATAAGACTGGGGAGATTCCCAGTTAACTTATAATCCTATATCCTCTAAACAACCTTAAAATGAAATGAGACAAAGTTATTTTAGGCAAAGAAAAGAAAACTCCTCACCAGAAAAATTGTATCAAGGAAATATTTAAGTTTATTATTCTTCAGACATGAATAAAATCATTACAGATGAAATTCAAAGAAGCAAGAAGGAATGAATAACAATAGAAGTGGTAAATATTTGGAAATATTTACATGAATATTGACTTTCCAAAACAATAACCCTATGTTTGTAAATTTCAAAATGTATAAGAAGTTAAACCAGCAATAATATATAACTCAGAAAGTAGAAAAAGAGACTAATTTTTATTAAGACCCTTTATGAATAGAAAGCAGTAAGACTGCTGGTTTAGATTAAAATTTGATAAGTTGCGTGGGCATGTGTAGGACAATGGCAAAAATAACTATGAAATTATGTATAAAATCAAAGCAAAGCAAATGAGACTTATGGTAATGATTAAAAAATTCTAAAGAAGAAAATCCTTGTGAAATATTTATATCTCAGGTTGAGGTAAAAGACAATAAGTAAATCTGAGATTTAATTACTAGAAAAATAATAATTATGTTAAATGTGCATGAAATTAGTAGTGTATTTGAAATATGAAAGATGTCAGACTGAGTTAAATATAAATACTTTGATAATTCTAAGTGGAGACAACATTAAATATCATGATCTTAAAAGGCTGAAAGAAAAAGGAAGGACGTTTGTGAGTTGAGTTTGCTTATAAGTTTAAACTCTGTAAATTTCATAAAGTCAGGTAAAGTGGAATAGTTACCATTAGATCCCCAGCATCCTGCACTTATGAAAATATACACTCAGGAAACCATTATATTTGGAGAAGAAAGAAGCTCCATGAAACATCAACTAATCTAGTGGCAATGGATGCATTCAAAACTTGTGATATATGAATATCAATCAGATATTGAAATGAATAGAGAAAATGACATGACCTGCTAAATGAAATTTTAAGGGACGAAGAGTTTGCAGCAATGGATATTGAGAAGTGGTCTGAAAAGCAGGTGGAAATGAAATGCATTTAAATACTTACTGAACAGAGCCAATATAGATATATATTTTAACATAATTTTTGTGAGAAGGAATTTCTCTAATTCAAGTTTCATGAAATTTCATATTGAACCACACATGCATTAGGTGTCATTATTTTTCCTTTCCTTGTTTCTTTAATATTATTTTCTTCACACGGTCATAAATCTGTTTGGTTCTGACTCCGTAGATGACAGGGTTGAGCATTGGTGGCACCACGACATAAAGATTGGCCAGGAGTATGTGGATATAGCGGGGGACGTTATGGCCAAAGCGATGTGTCATAAAGGAAAAGAGGGCTGGTGTATAGAAGGCAAGAATTACACAAACATGAGAACCACATGTGCTGAGGGACTTGAGTCGGGCTTCACGGGAAGGAAGACGGAAAACGGCACGGAGTATCTGAACATAAGAAAGGGCAATGGCTATGATGTCAAATACTAGATTACAAATTGCACATAAGCCATAAATAATATTGATCTTGATGCTGGCACAAGACAGACGAGCCAGACCCATGTGTTCACAGTAGGTATGGGGAATGACATGATTCCCACAGAAGGGCAGTCGCAAAATAAGAAACACAAATGGAATCACAAAAATAAATGCCCTCACTAACACACCAACACCAATCACAGAGACAATCTTGTTGGTGAGGACGGTGCTGTATCGAAGCGGATCGCAGATGGCCACATAGCGATCATAAGCCATTGCCAACAAGACTGCTGACTCCATAAGTGTGAAGCTGTGAATGAAAAACATCTGCATGAGGCAGGCTTCAAAGATGATCTCTCTGAGGTTGAACCAGAAGATCCCGAGCATCTTGGGGATGGTAGCTGTGGACAGACCCAAATCAATAGCAGCCAACATGGCCAGGAAGTAAAACATAGGCTGGTGTAGGCTGCTCTCAACCCAGATCACAAACAGGATAGTGAAGTTCCCCATGAGGGCAATCATGTACACAGCACAAAAAGGAAAGCCAATCCAGACATGCAATGTTTCCATCCCTGGAATCCCCAGCAACAAGAAGGAGACGAGGTGGAACTGGGTGTCATTGAGAAGGAACATTCTTTTTGGTAATGCCTAAGCCTTCAGAAATGTATGCTGACCCAGATAGTTCTCTGTATCACTAGAGACCTAAAGATAATGTAAGAACACTTAATTAGCTACTTTTTCTCATGATCACCATCATTGCCAACAGAATCCCCCTTCAATTTTGACCAGTTTAGGATTTTGCTAGCTTCTAAATATAGTGATGGAAATTAATTCCAGTTGATTGACAACACTCCGGGATTAACACACAGGATGAACAATAACTACACAAAAAACACACAGGTGCATCGATTTTATGCCAAAATATTAAAAATTACCTCAAATGGTTAAATTGGTTCATCTGTTAGTATTTAGTAATAATTTTTACAAAATATGATTGGGAATAATAGTAAAAACAGTAATATCAGATACTAATTAGTGAGGTGCTGTCCATTATTTACAAGGCTTTATGTCAGAATCTGTGCAAAAATCATCTCCAATATTTAAATAAAAATGTCTTTCAAGAAGAACATTAATTTTACTTATTTTACATAAAACTTATCTAATGATCAAAGAGTTTAAGTGGCTTGCTGGAAGTTTAAAATGTTTTCAGTGGAAGGTCTGGAAAATTAAGTTAGGGAGGAAAATAGCGAATGGAAATAAAGGAAAAGATGTGCTTCACCTATTTTTATATACACTACAACCACACATGGGCACACAATACTCCACACACATACAAACACATACAAATTATAAATCTTTTCTAAAACTCACGACATCTGTCTGTCTAAAATTTGTTATTTTTTGTTTTTAGCTAAGGCAATTGTGACTTTAGGAGTCGAAGACACATGTCAAAATGTCAATAAAAAAACTAGTGAGAGGGAAAAAAAACAGGAATATTGGATAATTAGGTGCTTGATAATTCAATCATTTTTTAAGTTCCCTAAATGTATTACACATCTTCATGTAGCTTGTTTATAGCATTTGACAGGGCAGTATTTCCAAAATGTTTATTCATTCATATGGGTAATTATTTTATAATAAAAAGTCTCTTTTCTGATTATTTGGAGATTCCATGGCAGCAATACTAATTGTGACCTCATCCTCAGCAAGAAAGCAGGACATGATGAAAACTCTGACATAAGGAGGAGGAAAAAACCAGAAAAAGTGTGATAAAGTATGGGATGAGCAGTTGAATATGGATGGTAAATGTGAAGAGCAAAGCCAGGAAACTGGCAGTTTCAACAGGAATAGAGGCTATTTCTGTAAAGTTACGTCGTAACAGTGAAATTGTGAATACTTTTAAAAGGTATGGCAATGGACAAAGGGAGTAAAAGTAGAATTCAGTCAGAGGCAAGTGTTTCTGTGAAGCCCAAGGGTGGAAATTAGCAAAAAAAAAAAAAAAAAAAAAAAAACAGGCAGTTTTTCTTTTTTCCAGTATACACATATAGAACAGTTTCTCAGTTAATGGGGAATTTACTTGGGACATTAGTTGTAGATATGATTGCGAAGGGTAAAAATAAGCTACCTCTGGTTTTTCTAAGAGAATAGTACTATATTTTGTGACTGCAAATAAGATAAGGGAAATTATGTCTCCCTGGTCATACAATTATATTCCACAATGATGCAGTATGAGATAATATGAGATAAGAAGTCAGAAAATGGTGTGAATAAACCAACTAGAAGACAAATATAGAAAAAGAACACAAAAACATGGAGTGGAAATAAGGAATACGGAGACAGGAATAAGGTCTGATTTCTCACAATTAAATCTTTATGCTCCTGTGGACATTAAATAGTTTTTCTTAGGTGACTATTAAAGAAAAAATTTTAGAAAACCCCAGGGGCAACGTGAATATATAAACATGGGAAAGAATAGCAAAGATAGTCATACTTGTTGACGAGGTCTTTAGTATTTACAAAAGTTTAAGTGGGGCAAAGTTACAGTGAGATGGATGTGTTAAAGGAAGGGTTACTAGTAACTTTGATTCTTATCTTCCAAGCCAAGAATACCTACAATCATGTGCTTAAGCCATCTTGAATTTTTACCCCTTCCCAGAGATATGTTATGCATCTGATGTTACTATAGGAATACCCTGATATCTTCTTGACTCCCTTGTGTTTGAATTGATAAAAACATCAGTGTTGTATCTAAGCTTCTCATGGACAAAAGTGCATTAACAATAATGGAAAGTTCCATCACAAATTTTTGAAAAGCATCCTTCAAGACATATTTAAGATCCATATACAAGGTGCTGATGACTTACTTGATCCTTTCTGTGCTCCTATAGGATCTAATACAGATTTGTATTACAGCATTATTACAAGCGTCACTCATGCTTACATTTCTGTATCTAATTTAAAATGTAAACTACTTACCAAACGTGCAGAGTCTACTGTATCAAGGAAGTTAATATTTAAGTGATTAATAATTAATAAATTGTTAATGGTAATAAATATTAGGGGTTAATAATAAATAATTCCTGGGTCAGACTAATTTGCTCTCTAATCTTCTTGTTAATAGTTTCATGTTAATGTATACATTACTCATTTGTTAAATAAATACTACAGAATGTGTTTTATGTGTCAGAAACTGTTCTGAGACATTTTAAAATTGAGATCTGTGCAATCATGCATAATAAAAAATGTTATATATAATCTGATGCAATGTTTATAAACAAAGATATGCAAGAGAAATAAATTTCTATAAATAAATGCATGGAACTATCCTATCAATAGTGAAAGAAACTCTATACCAACATTTTGATCTAATCATACAGTCTATTCTTAAAGTTAATACAGAGTAGAATTTCTCAAAATTATTATTCTGATTCATATGTACATACCACTTCTCAGTATCAAGGTCAAATGCTTCCCTATAAATGCCAACACTGCCTCACATCCTGACATCTGTAACTAAAATATAAAACATTGTAACTGCATTATTGTAATCTGCAGAAAGATAAATGCTATAATACTAAACATTTCTGATGTTTCTCCATTTCTCTGGGTTGCATCTTCTCATTTTCCTTTAAAGACATTTTTCTGACCATCCATTAACTATTGGTGATCCTTAACCATCAGCTGTAGTTACTGCTCTTTCTCATCCACTTTAATCTGTGTAAACAATCCCATTCACATCCATTGCTTTGATAGCTATCTTTTTTTTTTTTTTAATTTTTTTTTCAACGTTTATTTATTTTTGGGACAGGGAGAGACAGAGCATGAACGGGGGAGGGTCAGAGAGAGAGGGAGACAGAGAATCGGAAACAGGCTCCAGGCTCTGAGCCATCAGCCCAGAGCCTGACGCAGGGCTCGAACTCAGACCGCGAGATCGTGACCTGGCTGAAGTCGGACGCTTAACCGACTGCGCCACCCAGGCGCCCCATGATAGCTATCTTTACAATGAAAAATCCTAAGTAAAAGTTGCTAACGCTCAGAATTTATCAAATTCAGGTTCTCAAAACCAAATTCTTCTTGGCAATTACTTTCACTCTTCTTTTGCCAAAATATTACAAATAAAATATTCCTAAAATTGAATCCCCAAACCTGTCTCTACCAGACTCCCACTTTAACTCAATCTTACTTTCACTCTTGTCTAATATCAGTAAATGTCATTACCATTTAACTATTTGACCAATTTAGAAATATGAGCATCATCCTCTTCCCTTCTCCACCTCTTTAAAAAAAAAACTCTATTGATTCTATTTCTAAAAATATCCTGAAAATCAGTACAGTTGTCATCATCCTCACTGGAACAGTTCCAGCCATCATTTCTTGGGTTGATTATGGCACAGTGCTTTCTAGTGCTGAAGAGCATGAGCTCTGTAGTGAGACTAATTGTGTTGAAACCAGCTTCATGACTTATTCACTCGAGTTGAAGAAAAGTAAATAAAGTATTACTTATTAGCTGTGTGAGCCTTGCACAAGAGCTATAACATTGCTATACCTCAGTTTCTTCATCTAGGAAATAGAAATAAGTGTAAATAAACCTTTCAAAATTAAACCCTTAATTTTAGAATAGATTATTCTTTTAAAACACTCCGAACCATGTTCCAAAGATACTAGTTATCCATCATTTCATGGATATCAGGCAGAGTGATTTTTTCTAAAATGCACATTGAGTGTATTCAGGCTGAAATCCAAATGCTTTTACTAAAATTATATGGCCCTTTCTGACCATGATCCTATTCATTCTCTAAGCTTCAAGCCTTATTCTTCTTCTTTGAAAATTATCTCCTGTCTCTTCTTTTCCTATCCCTCTCTTTCCCTTCAGCCATCACTGTGACATAAGGAGGCTCTGTGAGCTGGGAGATGGGGAAGACTCACCGGAATGAGCACCAGGATAGAATCCTGTCTCTGTTTTATCGCAACCTGCTCAGTCTTTATGAGGGTGCTGCTCTTTGCCTGTGAGGAGCCTTCAATAGAAAATCCCCAGGGCATCTGGGTGGCTCAGACAGTTAAGCCTCTGACTTCGGCTCAGGTCATGATCTCATGGTTTGTGGGTTCAAGCCCAGCGTCTGACCCTGTGCTGACAGCTTGGAGCCTGGAGCCTGCTTCAGATTCTGTGTGTATCTCTCTCTCTGCTCCTCCTCCACTCATGCTCTGTCTCTCTCTCTCTCTCCAAAATAAATAAACATCAAAAAAAAAAAAAAAGAAAGAAAAGAAAATCCCCTAGTACCAGTTTTATAAAAAACACAAAGTCTCTGAGGAGTCTATTTTCTAATCTAGTCCTGAGTCATGAATGGAAAGACATGACTTCTAAGGAAATGAAGGCAGGAAAAACTAAGGTTTCTTGGTTACTTTGTGAGTCTCCATTAACCTTTTGGTAACTTGCTCTGTGTTAAAGCACACGATGTTTGATACAGATCATTCTCTCACTATCCCAGATCATCACTATGGGGGACAGTATAATTTTGTGTTCAAGAACAGGGCTCTCAAGTCAGAACACTGCTGTTCTACTGGTAGCTCTTTACACTTAATTAGATAAGTGGCATTGGTCAGACAATTTCACCTCATAATTTTGTTTTCCATTTATTTTT